GGGGGGGGGGGGGGGGGGGGGGATATCCGATAACATTTTTACCTGGTTTTTCACAACTAACAGGGAAAAAGGATCGGTGATGGATCTCTCTGCAGTTTACCATCAAATATAGCTAATTTCTTCATCTTCTCTTCGCACCAAAACATTTGCTCTTTGCTTATCCTCACCATTCGTAAAACCCTTGACACAATTTTTGCATCGATAAGTCCAAGCAACATTACTGTGTCGTCTTGTGAACTAGGCCATGACTTCTTTCTATAGCTTTTTGTTCTCTTCCATTGTTCCTTCAGTTTCATTGCTTTCTATAGTTTTTTTCAGATTATAAGTTTAGCAAGAGTTGTACCTGATGATACCTTCTCACCAAAAGATCACATTCACATTTTCATTTTCCCTTTTCAGAATTAGAAAGCTCACTTTTCACGAACTAAGACTATATGTGGAGAAGAGACTAGTGCTGAAATTAAAAAACATCACAGGAGTTGTATTTAAGTAGAATTTACTTTCAAAGACGTGAAACTATTCACCAATTGAGATTCTCTGTTATATCTTCCATTTAGGGAGAAGAGCATTACTCTGAAGATAAATTTTTTGTACCTTGTTACATTCATAAAATAGGCTAAACTTCATAAACTCTCTAGCTCATTTATATGAGAAAAATTATGCCTGAACTGATCTTATCTGAATCCTTACACTTAATGATTGCTTTCACCAGAAGGCTCCGAATTATGTACTGATTTTTCTTCTCATCATCGTTAAACTGACCCATTTTAAGGAGTTGATTATTAAATTCGCTGTTAGGCAATAGATTGGCCTTACCAAAGTGAGAAGTTAGTGAGTGATTGCACCACTATAAATAGTTTGTCCTCCATTTCCTCCTTCCAGGTAAATAATTAACCTTTTATCTCATAAACTGAAGTTGACTTGTATTGTTACTGACTTACTGTTACTGTTACTGTTACTGTTATTATTATTATTATTATTATAGCATGATTTCATGCAAAGATCACTTTGTGCATATCATTGTCAAAGATTCAGACTTTAATGTGCCTAATGAAGTTGATAATTGAATGGATTAACTGATACAACACGAAAAGAAGTCTAATCAAGGCGAAATACTAAGATTAAGTAGAATTAAAAATCGATGTTATCTTTTAATTCAGTTTATTTTTATGTTTATCTTTATTTCAATTTATCAAGATAGGAAATTTGATGTTATCTTTATCTAGATAGAAAGGAAGTTTGTTTAGTTTCAAAGTCCTTCACTATATAAAGGGACTCAGGGAATCATTTTAGAACAACTTGAATTTTATGAAATAAAATAATCCTCTTTGCCTTCAATTCTTCCCTTTGATTTCTTTGTTCTCTTTATCTTATTGTTCTTTATCAAGTTTCTGCATATCCTGCATCATTAACACTGTAGATATAACCATGGGAGATTGAGCTGACCTTCTCATGAGACGACTGAATCTGTTGAAGGGGAGTAGCCATCTGGTTCTGACTTCCAAGTAAATCACGGATGCCACCTGATTTTTTCTGTTTCATCTTCATGAATTGGCGGAAACTTAAGATCGAGCTTTCAATTATTCTAATTAGATCAGGGGCAAGTACCACAAAATCCGACTCCTCTTCCCTTTCCTTTTCTCATCAGAACCTAAAACTCACAAGTAAGACTGTTCAGGAAAACAAAACACAGTCCAGCTTTAAGCACCACTAAGGATATACAGATTAACAATAGAAGAATAATTCAAGTAAGTGTACCATATGGCAATTAAGGCTAAACAGGATTGAAGCAGCGAAGGAAAAAGTGTACAACTCAAAAATTTTACAGAATATACATCACCTTGGATCTTTGGAACTTGTAGCAGTTTAGGTAAAGAATTTCTTGTTCGGGTGTAGATTTCTGGCCTTGAACCAAGCTCAAAAGGTTCATTTTCAATAAAACTCTGCAACAAAACCTGGAATTGCTGAAACTGTTGGGCACTAAGGTTGTAACAGGTGGAACTTTCAGGTTGGCATGATATTTTATGGTTCAGCTGTGTATATTGGCAGTGCAGTGCCTCCCAAGTCAAGCACACTTGTGCTACATACGCTGTTTCAAGATCCTGAAATGGGTCCCTTTCAGGCTGCTGCAATTGTTCAGATTCCTCTTCCGGTTCTTCAAATTTTTTGAGCGAAAGGCATCCAAGTGAAGAAGCAAGCTTTTTGGATGCCAATCTTGGAGACAGCGTTGAAACAGTTTGAGAGCCTGAAATATTTTAAACTTGAATTTAAATAATAAAGAAAACAAATTCAGCAACCAGCTTAACAAATTTAAGATACAACAAATTGAGAAAATAATTAAAACATAACGATTACCCATTAATGGTAGGACAATTTGGCCCTCTGCCAGGCATTGATTTGGGCTCAAACTCCTACCAATATGTAGATGATTTCTGTAAATAGAAATACTATAATAGAATGCTAGTTCTGGGAGTTCTCCGTGAATGTGTAGTAAGCCTTATTTTGTCTCATGGTACCAACGCATAGATAATTTCCATGACAGTAATGTATCTCGCAACCTAATTCTGGGAACTTTCTAACAATGTATCATAGGCGTCATTTTGCCTTATGACCTAATAACAGTACAACTATCGCACATTGAATTGATTTCATTTTATCCCCAAGAGGCTAGGCTTTTCATCTCATATTTGTTAGCTAAATCGCATGTTTATGAGCATGAGCAAGATGAAAAATGTTCAAGTTAATCAATTTCACGGTAAGGAAATATTGATTAGAGAAGATGCATGAGAACATCCAACCACAATAATTGCAGCAAATCTATTTCAAGCATATCTAAAGACTTGAGCAATCTACATATAAAAGGTATCATTTCTTAAATGGGTAACACATCAAGAACAATTGATATCGAAATAGGAAAGATTTTATTCACTTAGCTCTAGTGAATTGTTTCATGTTTGTATTTGAATTAGAGACATTCAAAATGCTGAATCGACATGAACTATAACCACTAGCCTTCCAGGCTAACAATGCAACTCTAACACGACATGATATAAACACTTTAACGCATGGTTTTTCGAAAACATACATAGAACACAAACACATTAGGGACACATTGATTCAAATTTTCTAAAATTGCAAATTTATATAGTATATTCTTATACTTTTTAAATAAAATCATTACAATTTTTTTTAATTTTAATTTTAATTTTTTTAATTATTATTTTCGTTGGTGAAATCTTTTAAATCAGAAGAGTAACTAGTAGTTATATTATAATAACTAAGTCAGATCATAAAAATATTGCTAAAGAAAGATATTGCATATAGTACAATGTCCGAAGTATTTGAGACGACAAGCACATGTCGGGCATGGATATATGATGACCCTCATGGGAGTGTTCATGTTTCCTAGGTCCTCAAGGTCATGTATTTGTAAAATGACAACCTTACCACACACGAGGAAACCATCCTCAGTTACCTGCTGCAGAATAGCTAAGGCCAAGGGGAGGGATTGGTATTTCAAGTAGCGTAGAAAAAAGATCACAGCTGAAAGTGCACAGAGTAAAATGAAGAAATTCCGGAATCGGGCCACATGAAAAATCCATTTGTTAGACATAGCAGGATTAAGTGTCATTTTCCACAAAAGGGATCTTTAGAACATTCACGCTCTCTCCCTGAGGACCTCATTGGGATTATCCCATGTCAAATGGCTAGCATGACAAAATGGCTTCATCTAAAACCAAGATTTTTGATCCTCAGGATTCAATAGATATGTAAAATGGAGAATAAGCAAGAATGTAAATGCTTACTATCAGGTTCGATTTACAAGGATGGAACAAATAATGATCCAGAAAGGATTCGGAATCAAGTCCCAGACGGTCAAATCAACATTGTTTCAGGGGTTATTTCCAAGAAGGGATTGATCTATTTCTAGACAAAGAATATTCTTTAAATGCTTTCGTGAGATTGAGACACAGCAGAGAGAGACCGAGGAATCAGCCTCAATCACACTATTCAAAGCACTAAAAATGGAAGAAGTTACAATAGCTGGAGTAAATAAAAGTTTGGTATTTATCTCAGAGCAATAAGAGTCACAATAAAATTTTATAATGAACAACCAAAGGTCGGAAATGCGGCAGTAGAATATAGTTAGGGTCATTATTGTCATTCACTTCAAGAGAACAAACATTTAATCTGCCAAAATCTCGTCCAAGTCGAAAAAAGAAAATGCTACGAGCACCAACCACTAGCCTAGTGGTTGGGTGAATGTCAGAAGCTCATTTAAAATGTCTAACAAGCTAACTAGCAAAGTGATGTAGTACAAGTTTGACAACAGCATTTAAACAAGCATAAGGCTGATTAGATGCATGATATCAAATATGTCGCCAATCTGCTTTAATCTGCAGAACAATACCAACTATAAAGCTAATGGATCTCCAACTTTGATAAATATACAGAAATAGATCCTTGAAAAATATTACTAGAGAAGCAAGCTTGTTCAGAGTAATCAAAGAAATTACCAAGTTCTCGCAGCTGCTGAGCACTCAAGCGATCAAAAAACAGGATCCTGTCACAGTATCTATCATACACAGCATCAAACCAAGACCAGAATTGTCGGCCTTCTGCTTCAATGTCCCTCCACTCACAAGAGCTGGTCTCTCCCTCTTCATCTTCTTGTACATCCTCATTCTCTGCAGCCGTTTCCTCAGGTATTAACACCATAAAACTGTTTCGCCGCAGCTCTTTCAGCCTTCTCTTTATCTCGTTTGTGATGAAATCATCATCATCTTCTTCTATTTCAGTATTGGTAGAATCAGCATTGACTGATTTACCCAATAGATCACCAGTGTCTTTTTTAGGCTCTTCCTGATGCAGCTCTGGCTCAGTAACAACTTCCTGATTTGGCTTGCGGTCCTTCCTAAACTTCTTCAGTTTGAAGAAATCCATAGCTCAATGGTTGCCCAAATTAGCTCTACCTACTTATTCTTTTCTCCAATCCACACATTCTATTCAACTGATCGTGACAATTTGATTTGTTTTCTTTCAACCATCACTCAAAACCCATAAATCATACATTAGAACAAAAACGTATTCCACATTCAATAAAGAACAGATATTATTCTTTTTCAAGAATACATAAAAGGTACCCATTTTTAACCCAGAGCATATCTTCCAGGAAAGATGATCATCGAAGTGCCAGCATAAGCAAATCTTTCCAAAAGATACAGATTCATTGAACTTAATGAAAACCCAGAACTTTTAGAAGCCAGGATACACCTTCAAAGGGCAAAATAATTTTTCTTCCCAGAATATTTTTCAAAAAAATAATAATTAAAATGAAATGAAAACCACTAATAAACAATCTAAAGAGGATACATTTTTCCTGTACATCAATACCTTGATTCTCCAAATATCCCCCACTAGAAATTGAAAAAACAAACAGGGAAAATTGGAAGAAAACCCGAGAAGAAAAATTAGTCTTAAATGCAAAAATCACTTACAAAATATGTATAAGATTTTCAAGGCTCCATTGTACATGCAATAAGCAGGACTTCCGAAAAGCAGCAGATTCTGAGAGTGAAGATGTAACCCTAGAAGAGATGGAGACAGTGGCTTTAAACGGTAAAGCAATGAATGCGACAATTTGACTACGATTTATGATTATGCAGATATCGATAACAAATTTTGGATTTTGATAATAATTAACGGGTGTTTAGTATTTCATTTTGGTTAGTAGTACCATGTAATGAGATTTAGATCACAGAGTCCTAAAACAAAAAGAGAGCAACCAGCGTATGCGTATACACAGCACAGGAATATTGTCAGAAGAATAGTACTACTCATCATACAAAGCCGCGAAACTATGTTCTTTTGATTTTGTCCGTTATTTTTATATTTACCATCTTATCCCGATAAATTTCCAATATGAATTATTTGCCCAACATGGATGGCAAAATGTCGTGTGTTACTCCATCTATAACCAAAATGGGATACGAGGAGAACATGGTTTCTCTTTCAACTGTTTAATTTTTCATATTTAAAGCCCCGTTTGATAGTCATTTTTTTTCAAAATGCATTTTTCTCTTTCTTCTTTTAAAACACACATTCTTTATTAAAACAATATTACACGTAAAATAAACTTTTTCTTATTTCTCAACCACACATTTCACATCAATTTACTATTCTAAAATACATTTTTATATAAAAATGCTTATCAAACACCTCCTAAGTTTAATTATATTTATAAAATATAAATAAAGTAAAAATTAAATTAAAATATTTTGCTATGCTCCATAGCTATCTCAAGATACAAAAGTCCATGTTTGGCTAAGCTTATAAGTCGTTTATAATTTAAAAGAAAGTAGAAAATTTTAGCATTATTTAATGAAAAGCTCGGCACTTATTTTTTAAATATTATATTTGACATTTGAGCTTATATAAATTATGAATCATAGGCTAGATCCAAAATTCACATCTAGCTTAGTTGGACTTTGGGCTTCGAGTTTTAGGTGTTTTTCTTTTTAAACCACCACAAAGGTAATAATAAAAAAATAAAAATAAAATGCAAATCTATGAAGAGGACACATGACATGATCTTTTTGAACTAATGAATGTATAAAAAGTAAAGAGTGTGGATAGAATACTTAACTAACCCAAAGATTTGTCAGTGGCATCGACAACTTTTGCTAGTGGTAGAAACACCGTCGATGGTTGTCGACATCATCGACAAAGATGTCGTTAATAATTGCAACGAAATTGCATTGATGATCATTGAGGATATCTTTGTCATTAATTTCATTAGAATTATCGACAAAATAATTTTCGTTATAACTTCCTATAGTAATATCAACCATTATTAATTAAGATTCATTCAAAGATTATTTGCTCCATTTATTTTTTATATTGCCCCTTTAGCAATTTTGCATGCCCGAGCTGCGTTTGAATCTTCTCTAAGTATATGTATGATGATTTAAAAAAAATAAAAATAAAAAATAAAAAAATCTCCTAACCATCAAGAAGCCGCAAAATGTTCAAAATTGTCAAAAAGATCGCGATTATTATCGGGGCCATTATTCTGATTATTAGACCAATTCTCAAGATTTATCAATCATGTTACATAGGCATCTCCATTAACTGCTACGAATGATCCCAAATAATTTTATTGATGAAATCCTATTCGGTGAAGAAATTGGAGTTGTACATGTCGACGATAGATTCTACAATCGAGAAAATCAGATCAAGTAGGTCAAGTAGGCCTCTAGCAATCTTACGAAACTTAAGAAAAATTGAACGAAGAAGAATGACCGCAAAAGATCTTAGGAGGGCACCGATATGGTGCCAACTGAAGACCCTCCAACGGTCAAGTCAGTAAATATCGTCAAAAATTGTATGAATGCCAGATAAAAAGAAAGAAGAATTGACTTAAAGTAGAGTAGATTAAGATACCTAAAGATTTGACTGACCACAAAATTTATAGAAGTGAGATAACCGTCTAGACGGTTTGGTAGGGATTCTCCGAGATTTCATCACTGGTTGGAGCTAAATTTGATCCGATCTGTTTGGTTGAGATACCAAAGCTATTTACAGATAACTCTTACTGGGTTTGGATAAGTCACGACGTGATTTATCTTGAAGATAAATTATTGGAGGTTTTGAATTGACATGTAGGTCTTGGACTATGTATTCGGATCAATCGTTATAATGAGTTAGGCAAAGGATGGTGCGGTTGGTCCATCTGTGTGCCTATTTTATGGTTTGGGTTGCTTGGACTAGTGGATTAATTTTTACAACTACAACTTGCTCTTCACTCTTTTATACGAGTTCTATTTGAACGAAAGAGTAATTTGGGCTCAGGGATCATCAGACCCTTGGTTGAGAGCGAGCTTTGATCATAGGATAGACTATTTGATCATACGATGGTGTGTGAAAATCATTTAATCATTAAAAATGTCATGGAGATTACTGTCCGCTTGTTGAGCCATATGATTTTATAGGAATTATTGCATGACCAAGAGCCATGCGGCACCTGGAAGAATAACGTTCTGCTAGTCGAGCCGTACGATTTTTTAGCTTGTAAGTCAGTTAGTTTTTTGGTTCGGTACAATTTGATATGTAAAAAAAATATGAAACATATCACACAGCTTCTAGTGGAAATTTACCAAACAGAAATGGTGCCTCGTGGTAAATTTCACAAAATGGTGGCATGCAAGTGGCATGCATGCATAAGTTACGTGCATGCAACTTTATCACCACTCGACCATTGTCGAGTGGTGGTGGTGACCCCTATTTTTTATTATTAGTAATACAGATCCCAATTCGTCTAGACCGTGTGATATACACTCCTTGATTTACCAGTCTTATTGATTGATGTATCCATTTGAAAGGAAAGATCACTGATTATTCCGAATCCTGTCATATGCATTGCTTGGTTTGCTATTCAAAATGATTAGTATGTCCACATGAAAGGAAAGATAGTTGATCTATCTAGATCATGCCATATACATCGCTTGGTTTACAAGTCCGAAAGGTCAATGTGTCCATTCATAATGAAAGATGCTTATCCTACCAAATGTCTTCATAATGTTCATCCGCAAGGTTGAGTGAACACATTTGGTTGATGATTCTGAAGACATTTATGAATTCATTTACCCATCTCGTTTAGCGTGTCAATTTCTACAATTTAAAGCATCATATCCTCCATTTTTTCAAGTGAGTTGGGTAATCTTCAAGAAGCTTTAGAGATTTTGGTGAGTTTCTCTCCTCTGTTCTTCAAGTTCTTGCCTTCTTTTCGATTATACTTTAGTGTTCTTCAAACAATTTTTTCAAGTTCTTCAGTGGTTGTATTGGTATTGATTCGATGTTTTTGGAGTTTGATCTATTGTAGAGTGAAATTGTTAGCGAATAGTTGTTTTTTATGAACAATGGATTGGAGCGATTTTTGTGACGTTCCGTATGGAATTTCGATCGAAGCATGGCCGACTGGTGACATAAGTAACTCTAAAAATCTGAGTGAAAACTCGTGGCTAGACGATTATAGGGGTTCGGATTGTCCAGATGGGCTAACCTGTCGAGGTTGGTAGGTGATCCAGGGATTCATTTCTCTTATAAAATTGATCTAGAGAGCATTGATATTAAGAGTGGTCCGACCAATCCAAGTCCTGACGGTGGCCATCCTAGACATAGTTCATTTGAACAGAGCAATCCAAGGGTAACGATATCGTGTTTAATAAGAACATACCGAGCATGGAATGCCTATGATATTCTCGCATCTATTAAATTTTGTCCACCACTACCACACAAAAGAGTTTCAAAGAATGTCCTAAGTTAGATGTTTTTCTATGAGTTACCATTTAAAGATGGCTTTCAATTTTTGATTCCTCACGCAGTTGTGATGGTGTTGGAGTATTTTGAGATTGCATCGAGCCAACTTATGCCTAACTCTTGGCGATTGCTTTTAGCACTTCAGGTCTTGACCGACAACACGATATCCCATTTGGCATACAATTCTACATGATTACTTCATAAGAGAGCACGATAGTGAGAAAGGCCTATTTTCCTTCAATGCAAGGAAAAATATCAATCAATTGATAGTTGGTCTTTCTTCTAGGGATAAAGGCTGGAAAGGGTCTTATTTTCTCGCATAAGGCAATTTGGTTCGGTTGGAGAATTACCATTTTCCTTCAATGAGGTCATGCGATGAGTGTTGCAGATCATTTACTTCCAATACGTTTTACTAATTCGAGGTTTTTATTTCATTTTCTTGTAGGTCTTCACATCAACAGGTGGCCCGTTGAAGGCTTGTTTGTAAAAAAGCGTATTTCTAAGATCCTGGTGATACCCAACGACCGGTGTCGAACCTTGCTAACCTGGTTCGCATCACAATCATTCGATCGTGCTTATCTTTCCTTCAAACTCATCTGCATTTTCTAAACTAGGGGTGGTTGCACTTAGCAAAGGCCTTTTATTTCCCGAAGATCAAGCACGTTATGAACAACTTTGTCCAGTAAAGGCAATTGAAAATATGATGGCTTAGATTTTTCAGGTATATTATTTTTGTATACTTCTTTGTGGATAACCCAATTGGTTGACACGAACTTATTCTATTGATTTCAGGGTCTTCAAAGAGTTATTTTTCAGAAAAATGAAGCTGTTAGGCAGGCTAGAAAGTTACGCTCATTGCAGGATGTGAATATTTCATTACGTGGAGAAAATGAAAGTTTGAGGACAAGGAAGAAAGATGTTGACCTAGCTACTAGTAAGGCACTAGATGACCTAGTTGAGATGGTTCGCGAGAAGCTTACATTGGAGGAGGAGCTTATAAACTTGAAGAAATCTTCGGGGGATCAGATTGCTCATCTGGAGGATCTTCTAGAGAATTGCCAGCTCGAAGTTAAGATAGATACCAGAGCCTTCCTCATGAATGATTATAAGAAAAGTAGACATGTCAGTTGGGATGTAGATAAAGCGATTACCGATTATGTTGAATTGCACAAGATACTTGGTATGCAGAATATGATAGAGAAGAAGCCTTGGAATCAGGAATACCAATGATGGGTAGGTTTAGATCCCTTCGGAAGCACATTTTCCAAGTGTGCTTTTCGACCGTTATTTCTTTTTAGTCTTATGATTCAAATTTTGCATGAGCATGTTTGAATTCATGTCTTTTCGAATTATATAATGTGTAAACTTATTAGCGTTCTGTGCTAAATTACCAAAAAACTTATAAATTATCGAACTAAGAATTTTATTGTAGTAGACAAATATAAGATCATAATATTCGAACAAAAATTGGATGTACTTCTCATCGTTAAAGATAAAAT